ACATTGATAATGTTCTCATTTTATTTATATTGAAGTCGGTTTTACAATATTTTTTAATTTTACCACTTGTTAAAACAAGCAAGTAATACCTTAGGGCGGTTACATAATGTAAACAATATATAACCGCCGCAAGTAGAGCATTTCTGCCTACAGGTAAGGCCTACGCCGTTTAGGCTAGTCAAGACACTGATCTTTTAGATGATGTGCTGGCAATCCAATTATTTTTATTTATTTTTTATTTTTAAAAGACGTTACTCCCACTTGGGTTTTTACAATTTCTTCTTCAGCTCACATTCATGAATTGTGCAAGGAAATACCATCAAGACCAACAATAATTATTTGTAGACCATACAAATACTTGATTCGTGCGGAATGCGAACCAACGGCCCTTAAGCACCGCATCTCAATACTTAACCGCAGTGTAACGGAACCGTCAATTTATTGAAGAAAATCATAACCAAGAACCATCTAAAATTTAAATCACCAACCCATGTTGTTGCCTATAATGTATTCATAACTACAATTTCATGGCCCGCTTTAATTTTGTAAGGTCGCTTACTACGCGAAAACGTTATTTGGTCGACATCCCATGTAATGTTATTCTGTTATAAGGGTGCGAGCCTCTTTTGTGCCCTTTTAACTAAATTAATGTTGTTGCGACAATCCGCCAGCTGTACTCAGATAATACACAAACGCGTCGTCACTTTAATTATTGGTCTCTATAAGCAATTTAAAGTAATTTGTTTACAATGCAACCTTTTCATTTTAAACTGGCGACCCACCCCGGCTTATTAATTTTTTTTTATCCATTTTGTTAATATACATATCATTAGACCTTTTGTTCATATAAAGCTTTAATTTTTTGGTTAAAATACAGCCTAGATCTCTCCTGGCAAGGCTCTCTATTGGTTCGTAAATTTTCATAACAATCGGTTGAACATGCACGTGGTTGATGTCTTAATAGCATACAAAATAAGCTTAATAAAAGCAATTTTATTTATATTAATAGATAGTATTTTTACAGAAATATCTAATATCTTCATTTGTTTTTTTTTCTACGAGCTGTATGGGCCTATTGTAGCCTTAGTTAACTAATCCTTTGGTCCATGTCGCTTAAGTTCTATTACGTTAGCGAGGATATCGTTACAGAATGCGTCAAATAGAACAGTACAAGCTTATAACTCTCTACAGCTCACTAATTAATATTGGGAATATTGTAGTACGAAGTACCGAAAACTATTGGACGTCTGTCTTTGTCGTGATTATTTATAATATGAAGTACCTACTGGTTATTTAAATAATTTATAAGTTGGTATGACTGCTTTTTTGCCTACGAGTATGTCGGTATGTACCACTTTCTTACTTCTGTACTTCTTGATTCTGCTGCCAAACGGCAGTGCCTTGATCTGGAGTGTATAGGCAGTGCTGTATTTACGCTAGGGGTACTAGGGGCTAGTGCCTAGGGCAGCAAAATTTTTAAAGATTCGAAAGATTTTTACGTTGTGACCGAAAATAGGCTGAATCGTTTAACAATCCCATGTATCGCATCAGATTTGCTTCAACATTTAAATTGTAAAGATCTAATAGATCACTTCGCTAATTAAAAAGTCAGGCATGTTTGCCTTTAAGAAGCTATACAGTATTTATGATTTTATATACCAAAACAAATATTGTAAATATTTGGTAATAATACAGGCTTTTCAATTATAAGCGACGTCTTATAAAATTATGCTCTTGTCCTTTACTCAATTAATGCAGGATATAGGTATTCGGACGGTATTTTTCACGGTGCCCCAGGGCGGCACTTAAGGTCCGGCCTTGTGAATAGGGAGCCTATATAATATAGTAACTGGCTGTGTGGCTTACCATCCGTCCTCAGAGGTCACAACTCATCTCTAGCTTTTTTCGTTTAAAGTTCTCTTTTATGTGGTAGAGCCATGCTGCAGGTACTCGTATAACATGCTGTAGCACGAATGGGTCGATTAGGCCGGCAGGATACGTGGTAGAACCATTCTGTAGCTATTTAATGGTTATAGCATGAATAGGTAGGCTCGATCAGGGAAGGACCACGTTTGAAATAGCAACTACGTAATGGTGCTGTGTCACATGGTAAATGTGGAAAACCGGACACCCATTTTTCTGAAAACTAGACATTGCATCTTAGCGTGATAACGCATCTACATTTTGATTCTTATTCGAGGATAGATGTAGATGTAGGTACATAGATGTATATGAATTACAGCATTTACTTACCATCAGTTGAACTGTGTGCTCGTTTGACACCCTAGTTCTAAAAAAAAGGAGTCCATGAATTGCGGTAGCCATTTATGAGGTAAAATGTGTTTCGTTTTTCACTTTAAATTTTATAAGAAAAGTGTATATTGTCGTTGCTTTTAATTCTGGTGAATAATTGTTATTTTCAACGACTTGTTCAATAAAATTGAAGTGTCTAAAATTCATAGATTCGTAATCGAGAATATAGTATGTAGATGTCTATGGGCCACAGCAACCACCTACCATCAGGTGGACTGTGTGATCGTTTGTCACGCTTGTCCAAAAAAGTACAAAATTGAATTTGAAAATTGGGTAAAAGATGACACAAGTAGGAGAAAACATCGTTTTCTCTGTGCCAAGGATAATAAAGCGTGTACTTTATGATCACGCCTGTGTATATTAAAAATGTCCCTGAAAGTGGTCGTTATGAAGCTTATCGCGTACATCCTGTTGATATTTCATGTATATTTTAAGTGAGCGCTAATCTGAGCCAGCTTGGCAATAATGGGGCACTAAATTTTACAAATTGTCAGATTCGCGAATGGTTATAGCCAGTTTAAATAAATTGTAAAATTTAACCGTTTTATCTAACTCCGTACAAAGTTTGCAATTTTCTCATTCAGTCACTCATCAGTTGAGTGAAATTCCGCAATTTCACTCAACTGATCCTCTTCCCACCCGTAAATACCCACTGCTGTACATGGACTACTCCCATATGCCATTGTTAGAATTGTGCGTAATCTCTTAAAGTCAATGTGGCAAAAAATCTTTTAAATGATTAGTTGTGTAGTGGCGACGTAAGAATATCCGCTACGTCATGGTGAGCGGCGAAAGAGGCGAAAGTGGCAAACTAAACTGGCTGAAAATAATAAAAAGGTTTTTTATAACCCGCGTGTCAGAGCGCGGCAAATCCCTCCATTAGGCAATCTATAATATATATAATTTCATACTCGCATCAGTACAGCTGGCAGTATGTGGTAGAACCCTACTGAAGCTATATTACGGTTGTATCACGAATGGATCCGCTCGACAGGGGAGGGACAAGGCTCTCACAGAATACCAGCGTAAAAAAATGTAGTTGTTTCGTATGATAAATGTAGAGAACCGGAAACCCTTTTTACTGGAAACGAGGAATTCCATCATAGTCCTCAAAAGTGACTACGTATCTGCTTGATTCTTAATCGAAGATGGATGTAGATGTAAGGCCACAGCATCTATTTACAATCATAGAGACTATATATAGACTATGTATACTAATTTGGGAGCCAATGGATTCAATTAAACGTTTACTGTAATATTTTTATGTCCAACTAAAGATTTTTTTATATGTGCTCGTTTACGATTTAAAACTACAAGCATTTCCACATTTGGTATTATTTTGTGAAATTATTTAAAATATTTAATAAAACATCGTTATTATTATTAACATAATAATTACAAGCTTGTCATTCCACTTTTTCTCTGTACCTTTATCAACACATATCAGGAGGGGGGATTGCATTCAAACACTGTATTATAATAGGTTAAATAAAAATTGTGGATTAGGAAGAAAAAAATATATTCAAAACCATTTTTTATATTCTTGGAATATATTTTTACCTTGCCTTCAGAACATCTGGTACATCCCTAAATCGTATACAATTCAGTTAGCGCTTTTTCTTAATTTACTTACGAATATTGCAATACAATGTTTCATGAATAACAAAAATACTAAGCGTTCACGAACAATATTTCCTTTTATACCATTCATCCAATTTCCATTTAACCTTTTTTTTATGCTTAAAAACAAGACTGCGCGCATATAGACCTGAATAAATAAACTGTTCTTAATTAATCATATTCACGTGGGCCTCAGTTGGAATATCAACGTTGAATGTGAAAACAACTTAGCGTATGAAAACATACGGTGTCTGGATTTTGTTAGCGATTTGAATAGAGTATGATAAAAATATTCTACAGCAATGTTATTGTGACCTAAGGTACTATTGCGTTAAAATATTTTTTGTCTAATATACCAACCTTATGGATATCATTCGAAGGTCTATTCTGTCTCATTATAAGGAACAGCATCACCTGAGTCAACATTTACAAGCATTTTAGACACTTACTGTTTTCCAATATCTTGGAACTCTTGATCAATAGAGATCTATTTTATTGATACTGAAGCATTCCATCTTAACCCTCATTGACTGAATATATCTGCATTTTGACTCGTAATCGAGGATAGAATATAAGTATTTATGGGCCAAATAATCCACTCGCGAAAGAATGGAATTGTTACCCTTACTTCTGTTAATTACTTCTATTTCTGATCAAATTTAGGTTATCATATTTTTAAGTATGACATGAAGTTTGTGCAGATCATGAATTTTATTGTATAATACAGTAAGTGTCTCCTGCAGTCTATGGACATTTACAGCCAAATTAAAACCAGGAAGGTTACATATGTGTTGTCACCTTTTTAAAACTAGGATGGAACGCCTCACAGCCTATTATTATACTGGCTCCATTATCCCTCCAGACCGGAACACAGCAGTGCAAGCAAGTATTTTGCGGCAGATACAGACAACCAGACGGAAATCGGAGAAATCGGAACGGAAGGGAATCCTACTATTACTACTTATAGTATATATATTTAAACCTCTTTGAATACATATGGTGAATCGGCTATGGCTGGGGATGCGGCTCATCAGGCCACAGACTAGCATTCACATGTGGAAGCCGCCATGGATCTTTCCGTTCTGGTTGGTTCAGACGATAATCGAATAGACACCCATGAACTAGAGCAGATGAGGAGTAAATTGGAGGAGGTAATTGTGGTAATACGTTGTACGGCTCTCGAAAATCGACCACGACTTCCGCGCATACCCCTAAGCAAGTGCAATCGGGATGTCATGAAGGCTCTGAACCCATTGCTGGCAACTCACTTGGAAACCACCCGGGACTTTTGCGATACGGATTTGATGCTCTTTGGCGCTGCTTTGACAGTTTGGCGCATTGGCGGTGCCAAACTTTCCACGTCTGGACGTGCTACTGGACAAAGAAGTGCTATCCCAGCCTGGAGAAGAAAGATTGAGGACCGTATCGCAAACGCAAGGGCCCTCATCGGCAGACTGATAAGCTCAGGTCGGGCAATAATAGGCCGAGAATTGTGCGCACCGTCATAGTGACGTTTGCTGGGACAAATATCAGTTTGTCGCAGCTGGATATAACGCAAAAACTGACATAGGGCATAGACGACCTGCAGCAGAGAATCGCTACTTGCGGGAAGCGGGTTCGGCTATATACCAATAGTACGATACAGTTCTACCAGAATCGTCCCTTTCAATTATTAGAAGAGGCTCTACAAGTCATTGGAGCGGCCAATGTTACGTGGCCCAGCACCGAATCGGGCCGACACTGTCGCATTCCGGCGGCCTGTGGTCAAAGCCCGTAATCCACAGCGAGGACCACGAAGTTGTGGCGAGTCAGTGTGGGAATATTACGCCCGTGGACCCCGGCATCATAACGCCGGAAAAGTCCGGTGCTCGACAGACTGCATCACTACTGGCTGAAGGGGTTCGTGGTGTGTCACGCTGTGCTCGCCTGATAGTTTCAATAAGCTCTTGACCAGAAGTCACACTCGAGTCTCGTCACTACTCGAATCACTCATTTGGTTCCTAAAGACCAAGATACCTCAGACCCAAGCGAATACCGCCCCATAACGTGTCTACCTACCATATACAAGAAACTAACATCAATTTTGTGTGCGAGAATTACTCGTCACTTGAATTCAAATCAGGTGATGTCGCGCGCTAAAATGTAAAGCATTCGACTCGATGCCTCATACATGGCTGAAGAGGATCTTCGAGCTGTACAAGGTAAACTGCATAGTAAGAGACTTCCTCGAGCAGTGAATGGAGCAGTGGAGTACGATACTTTGTCATCTGGGCGAGCGAATGACTGCAGCGGAGAGCCGCATTAGGGTAAGAAGGGGTATCTTCCAGGGCTATTGACTGAGTCCAATCTGGCTCTCCCTCTCGCTGCCTCCAGTCGCTCCTATCGTACGGAATTACTAAATATCACTTGTCTGTCGAGCAATTCTACCAGAATGGATCTGGGTACGGACAAGTGTGCGTTCCTCCATATCGAAAGAAGTAGGGTTGCTAATTCTGATGGCTTATACTTACCTATACCCATCAACTTAAGACCCTTTCCGAGCCTGTAACATATCGTCACATATCGGACATGAAACAGTCCGTTTACGATGTGTTTTGTGCACGCTTGATATAAATGCTTAACAGTCTTTCATCGGGCATTAATAAGATACTCGCATGTAACAATTTGGGCATAACTGTCCTCATGTATACCTTTGGCATACTCAAGTAGACTCGGACCGAATTGAACCCTATGGATAGAAAATTCTGCACTACCATGACGTCCCATAGAATGCATCATCCGAGATCATCGGTAATGAGCCTGTACTTGCCGCGAAAGCATGGTAGGCTTTTTAAGCGCGCTCACTATGCATAATCGCGACTTGTACAGCCTCTGTAATTACTTAGTGACGAGATCGAATGATCTATTCTATACGGATGTCATCTCTTGCGATAAAGAGAGCTTATCTTTAGCCAACGAGCAATGACAGGACCCGGCAGTACAAGTGTTTGCGGCCGGGAGGCCGTATGGAGGTAGAAGGAGCTCCACGGGATGTTCTACAACGCTCTTCATGAGCCTTTCGTAGATAAAACCGCCTCTCTCAACTGACTATGTTTCGGTGACGCCTTTAGGGAGACCGCGGGTTTTATCTGTGCAATACAGGATCAGGTTATTAAGACCAACAACTATCGGAGATAAATCCTATGGGATAGCACCGTTGATATCTGTATAGCTTTTCGCCATCCCGGTGAGTCACTTAGGTTGTTCGGCGCTTTCCAACTCTGAGTACTTGAAAAGGTACAACCTCGTAGCCCGGATTTTACACCAGGAGCTAGCTCTGAAATACGGTCTCGTGGATCGGAAATTGCCTTATTATTTGTACTTGGTGGACGCCGTTCTCAAAAATGATAGCACCAGGCTCTACTGGGACTGGGCCGTCATCACGGATAGGACTATTCTTGCGAATAATCCTGATATTATGCTGATGGACCGGACACAGTCAAGGATATGTTTTGTCGACATTACCATTTCGTATAACGAGAACCTCGTGAAAGCCAAAGCAGATAAGCAAACAAAATATCTGTACCTAGCTCACGAGGTGACCGACATGTGGAATAGTCTGCCGACCGAAATTATTCCTGTAGACGTTTCTGCGAACGTGTTAATCCCGGTCAGCCTCTTCTAAGGTCATCTAAGGCCACTGGGACTTCGTAGCAGACCGCTCCGGGTTTAAATGCAGAACGCGGTGCTCCTCGATATCGCCCGCATTGTCCGCCGGTTTCTTTTCCTTTCCCCATAACCCTCGGCTGTTTGGTCTCCCCTGATGAGGGTTTCCATCTGGTTGGGCTTTTATTTATTTATGTATTTATTTATTTATGTTAGTATATTAAATATATATTTATCTATATTTATCATTCCTTTTTTATATATATATATATATATATATATAAAAAATAAAGTATATATATATATATATATATATATATTCAGCCGAACAGATGAGAATACTCTATAAACACCCCAAAAATAATAAAAATAATATACATCGTTGAACATGAACACATCGTTATTCTGAAAAAATAATTGTCTTCATTCTATTGTTACATTTTAATACGTCCTTAATTTACTCGAACTCCACCATATATAACCATTTGTACGGTAGTAATATATAAGTCAATGGTCGCATTACATGTTCGATTAATAAATCGCGTCATAAATATTTGAACCTGAAAATAAATCCATAAATAATAATCAGTATTCATATACATTCAGATACGATTAATATTTTTTGAATTAATGTCAAAATTTGGTCTATACATAATTGTATAATATGTAACCATTTATATCGCAAGTATGGAGGTATAACAATGTTGTTATTCATATGAAACAAAAACAAAATTGATAATATCCATTTAGAAACAAGATTATTTACAGTACATATATCAATGAGTGTCATGTCATCAGCCGACGTAAAAGGAACGATATATTCCAAAGATCACACATTTACGCAATACTCGAAATAAAAATAAAATGACAAACAATTATTCAGAAGCGTGGTAAAAAAATAATGAACGCAATGATCTCTTCCATCAAGAGTGCCGCACGAACCGAAGTGCTCCCCGGAGTAAAGTGCTTCGCGCCATGATTTCCACTCATTTCCTTAATCGTCTCTTACGAATGTCACATGATATCGAAGTCAAAGTGCCTGTGCTTTTATATCTTGTGAGAATATTCGAAGAAATTTATATGTTTTGATAGCCTAAAATGTATTTTTATTTCTATTAAGATGTGTGCCATACTAAATTAATTAAACTTCGTTCTATCTATAATATATAACCTCAAAGGAATATCGTATGAATACATACGATATTTCTTTGAGGTTTGTGTATTCTCGTTTTTGATACGATAATTAAATTAAGCTCATACGTTGTTGGATTACTAAATGTAGGGTTTAAAGTAAGGATTCTAAAGAACGTGCATATTTTATGTGCTGGTGGTCTATATTTATCTATCTACTTATATTTTTGTTACAAAATACCTTACGGTAGCTTATGTATAAGTAACAGACCTAAGGTATCGCAGACTTTTTTTAGACAGAGTAAAGATCAATACTTTTGTAGAACATTTTATTTACGTATCACTAACCGCGACGATAGCGCAAAGCAGTTCGAGAGTGCTTTTCTTCAGACTTGCGTGAAGTGTAACCTAATTTTAGATAGCCTATACTGTTCCTCATGAATCTGGCTATCATAAAAAAAATTATGTATTGATATGACGTGATATGATGACGTGTTATTATTATGTTCCACTATCGTGAAGACCAATTTATGCTCACCTTAGTACTACTACAAACGCTGTGCTATATATTATACCTTTGTTACATCGCCCATTACGATCATCTTTTGAAATTGGGAAACAAAATTGTATAAAATGAGTTTATAATAAAATAAGAAACGAAAAGTGCCTTTACTGCTTCGAACTCAAACTAACAAAGAAAATAAAACCATGATCAACATCTTGACCACGCACAAATATTTCTGTTTTTTTTTAATTGCCCGAAAAGAGTTCACTATTGGACACTTACGCACCTTAACCATGTTGTCGGTTACAAACCATTTGATGAGCGTGAGCGTGTACTTGTGTGCGTGTAAGTAGAGTATAGTTTTGGGGTATGTTCCGAAATACAACCCTGGCCAATGCAAATGACGTCATAAATCGACGCCATATTGGTGACTGGTTGTATCGAATATGGTGGAATACGGCATAAATTAATGACGTCATTAATTTATTCAATAATTTCGAATCATACCCTTGGATTGGTTTCCGCGACACATAAAATGTATGCATCTCCTCTCTCCGACTTTCTTTGTTGATCTGGTTGGATTTAGAGGTAAGAACTGAAAATTACGTACTAACACTTTTTGAACAGGATATATTGAAGAGAACAAATAATATGTGCAGAGAAATACAACTATATTATCCTGTTTCCCAAACGCTCTTTTGATTAAACAATACAAGAGATGTAGACGCAATTTGAGGCGCTCCCAAGGAAAGTTTGTACGAAGCACCTATTTGTTGTGACCTAAACAAATAAAGTAGTTCCAGGGAAAACAGATCAGTTAACTTGTTAAGCGTGTAAGTACGCCACCTCCGAAGGACGAGGCCATGTTACAAATTGCGGGCGCCTTTGCGTCAACAGCGATAGAATATTCGAGAAAGAAAAGGAAGAATATAAACTTACATAATCTACTTTCTGATTGAATTTACGAAGATAAAAATGTGTACCTACATTATTTTATGTACTAAACTCGTTTTCACTTTTTCAGAAGCAAATATATATGTGAAATGGATTGTATTTGTAATCAAGAAAAACATGAGGAAACGTGTTTGCTATGGAAAATATTTGGAAAAGGTATCTAAAGTTCCTTCCATTACACTGTAGCTACCTCATACACTACGTTTTGCACGATATAGTAATGATGTGATTTATACCTATCTACTTAAAGGGACATTTATTTCGTGCATTAAT